TGAAAATGTGATATGTACAACATCTTGACTATTCAGATAAACTCATGCATGTAGGATTTTTTATACATGTTTAGAAGGTTTGAGAAGCCATTTTGAAATCCCAGGTTATGAACTTGGAGCAGAAAAAAAAAAACCAAAAACAAACCCAACCCATGACTATGTTTATTCAGAAGTAAGGATTAGCAAAGCAGCTACAAGAGAAATTTAAAAATAGAGCAGATTTCAAAAGTCTGTATCCAGTTACCTGCTCAAATCTCCATTTGGATATCTGATAGAAATAACAGTTTCCTCCTTTAACCCGACCACTCTCTCCCCCTTCCTGGTTATTGGCTGCCCAACTGCTGAAGCCTGAACCCAAGCCATTCTGAGTTCATCTCCTTCGCATGCACATCCATCAGTCACCTGGCTCTGTCAGTTTTGCCTCCGTTGTGCATTCTGTAGGCGTCACTCTTCATCTCTCCTGCCGCCAGGCTCGACCAGGCCATGTGGAGAGGTTAGAAGAATGCCTCAGACGGGAGGTGGCTCAGTGGCACAGTCCTAGAACAAATAATTTTTTTGAGAAGACCATAACCAGTTGATGATTACACAAACTATGTCAATAATTAGGTTGTAATGACATAGATGAATATGCATCCCAATGAAACTGTGACAGTCATATTAAAAGCAGGGCTATACACAGCAGCAGTCATGGGCCACCAAGAGGAGAAACAAGAAGCCAGCCCCTTCCTGTGAGCCAGCCAGCATGCGAGGTGGGAGACAAGAAAAGCTGAGTATCTCTTGTAAGCAACTGGCTGATTTGGAGAAACACAGGCTGGGATGATAGCTACTGAAGTAAAAAAAAAAGATTAATGCCTGCAGTGGTTAGTGTTTGATTGGCCTTGCAGGCCTAAAGCTGGTAGTCTGAGCATCTATTTGGAGGATAGCAATATGCATACCAAATATGGATGATTTCTTTCTGAAGGTGGTAGCTGGACATTGTTCATCCCCTATTATTTTGTTTTAAAGTCCTGTATCATTTTCATTGTTTGGTTTGGTTTGGTTTAATTCTGTTTTGTTTTGTTTGATCTTTACGATGGCTGATCATATGGGAAGCTATTTTAAAGATAACAAGAGGCATTATAGTAGCCATTGTTGATATCCTCTTATCCTGTTTTAAAGTTTGTATCACTTTCACTCTTTTGTTTTGATTGGCTTTATTCTGTTTGGTTTTATTCTCTTTAAAATAAAATTTTAAAAACCAGATTGTGCAAGAGATGAAATAGAAATTTAACGAAGTATTAATAAGTTGCTCAATGGCGATGTTAATAACAATTGCACATTGGTATTGATTTCTGCTGCCAGTTTACTGGACAGGACCCAGAAAGTAGCAGGAGAAAGATGCTTGCCATCAGAGGACTTCAGGGAAGTTGTTCCAACCCACAGAAGCCAGTCACACTTCTCCGTGGCAAATGTGGGTAATACAACACCAAGCTAGCATCATTTTGATTCTGAGAATCAAGTACCCATGAAAGCATTCTGTAAATAAAAACTTACTGCATAGGTATGAAATTTTATTTCTCCGACCAAATTCTTCTCTAGAACTTGAACACTGATAACCATGACAGTACGTTCTGGACAGCAGGCAGTGGCAATCTGTCTCTAGTTTCATGTGGTCACTTGGGGAGATCTTGGCTGATGACTTGGGCATTCAGTCTGGTGTTGCCACTGCGTAGCCTTGTTTCAGTGCCCCTCCTGCTCTCTTTCTTCTCTACCTCCTCCTTATCTTTCTGCTCTTCCATTATGTATCTGTCTGCTTGTTTTTCCACTTCATTTCTCCCTCCCTCCCTTCCTTTCCTCCTTTCCTTCCGAAATAAAGATCTTAGGTTAGATTTTTTTTTTTGTCTTTTTGAGACAGAGTCTCGCTATGCAGTTCAGGATGGCCTTGAGCTCATTTTGTAGCCCAGGTTGGTCTCAAGTTTGCAATAATCCCCCTTCCTCAGCCTCCCAAATGCTAGGATTACAGGCATGTGCCACCATGCCCAGCTCTGGTTAGATGGTCTTAAGAACTCTCCATCTATGGCAATCAAAATGACTGATCCAGAATGTTGGAATTTGTGTGATAGAAGACTTTAAGCCACTTCTGCTTATAATCATTAGGTTGATTGGTTTACTGTCTCCCTGGGTTGGGATTCATGCTGTCTGTGCAAATACACTGCCAGGAAATGTACAATTAAAATGTGGGATCTGAGTTTTCATACAGCAGATGGAAGAGTAGATCATGAGTCTCATAATTAGACCTGTGTAATAGACACAAACAGACATTTTGGAGCATGTGGGCTGCTTTCTGTGTGGGCTGGGCTTCATTGGAACACTTAAGACTAGACTGAAATTCTGCTTCCCACCCTGGCTAGCTGGTTGGCTCTGTATAAATCCTCTAACCACACCAGTGATCATTTCCTAGTCCCGATCCAGTGTGCGCTATAATTTTAACTCCATGGAGGTTCTGTTGGAAATGTTACAGTGATAATATCCTCAGACAGTTTTTGTGAGTGTATACTTGTGGATTGTCACTACCTTGATATGTGGGGCTATGGTGTCAAAGGAGTAGTGTGTCATTTCCACTCATCTTCATCAGTAAAGCTAGTAAAGGGGATTATCAAAAGCTATGGGTGTTTTAGACAGGAAATAAAAGAAATAATTAGCTTCAAAACTTAGACACTAACCAGAAATGGAAGCTGCAGTTTTGAATGTTGACATTGCAACAGGAGACTTGTCAAGAGACCACACTTGAGGCACAGTAATTATTCACGCCACAGAATGATTACCTTGGGCCTTATTACATGAAGTAGAGACCTTTAGGGATATATATGTGGGCATAATATAATAATTCTCAACTCATAGGGTGTGGCCTACAGGCATAATTGTGAGAGTCAAGAATAAAGCTGAATTTCTATTAAGTTAATTCTAACAATAAGAATTCAGTAAATTGGAAATCATGGTGTAGCACATATCTACATAGAGGATGCCAGCTAGGCAAATATTAGAGAAGTTGATTACATCAATAATGCTAGCTTCAAAGCAAGAAGAAATTACAAATTGTCAACGTTTTTTGAGTGTAGAAATATATATATTAAATTTTTTTAATAAGTTGACTTTATAAAAGAAACTTTTTAAAAAATTTGTTCTTGTTGGTACCAAGGATTGAACTCACGACCTCATACCTGTGCAGGCATTTAAGCTAAATAACGCTGGTCAAGTGCTTGCCACGCGTGGTGGAAGACGTTCTGAGCTGAATGACATGCTCTTGGTTCCCAGAGCATTCACAGCTGGTGAAGTGATTCTTTTCCTTGCCAGGAGAAGTTACAGACACAAATATATAGACAGCTTCCACTGCGCGTCAAAACAGCGAGGTACCCAGCGCAGTTCCAACCCCCAGCAATATTCTGGAGGATTTCAGTGAATAATTTGATTAAATGGTTAATTTGGAAGCATTTTGAAAAGACTGATTCCTAAGACTACACAGGAAGTGACCTGTGCTAAGTCATGTCAAATTCATCTCATTTTAAAATTAAGGCTCTACGTGCCTGATAAAATGCTGAAGTATATTTTATTTACATGAAAACATTTGTTTGGATGGTATCTTTATGGAAGAAATGGTTAATTATAGATTAGATGGTGAATTCGTTATTTATTTATTGCTACAAAATAAACCATTCTAAACAAAGGTTTAAGATAGCAATCATTTATTTGTCCCCAGCTCTGTGGGTCAAAAGTTTGATCTGGGCTGTGTTGGTCTCACCGGAGTTACTGGTGCGACTAAAGCTGTCGGGTAGATTAACTCCAGGTGGTCTTAGAAATATCAGCCTGGACTGTTTGTCTCTGCTCGATGGGGTCACATCCTAGCTCACCTGTGTGAAAGAGATGATGGTCTCCAAAGTGGCGTGGGTGTCTATGCTTTGCAATGTCCCATTGGCCACAGCCAGTCACACAGCTATGACTGCAGTGTTGGGAGGCGCTAGGTGGAGGCCTCCGTATGAGGAGGTGGGACTCGGCAAGGGCTGTAATTAGTCCACTGTGGCATTAAGTGCGTTTATTCATTAAGGATGATTCTTGAAAAATGTAGTATTCAGTGATGCCCACTTTATCTTCTTCTCTGATTTTATTTATTAAATAATTTTCTTTTACAATCACCTTTTTTATTGAAGAGATGCACTTCAAAAATTATGAACACTGCTGTGGGTTTTCATTTTGGTTAATGAAACAAGAAATGCCAAACTGTAGTTTTTTCTTTCCTTTTTGCTTGTTTTACCACTTAGTATGAGTGGACCAATATTTTGGATCATAACATTGTGACACTGAAAGGATGCTCTGCATCTCTTGGCCCAGCCCTGCTGCCCCGGAAGGAAGACGCAGATGGTGGAGAAGGGGCGACTTGCTGAGGTATCTATGATCCTCGCGGCAGAACAGGTTCCCACCAGAGCAGATTGACCTGAGGACACCTCAGTCTCCATGTTCTCAGCCTGGAGGTAACTGTTGTTAACATTTTAGTTTCCTTTTCTGAAAAATGAAGATGGTGATACTATGGGTTACCGTAGGTTATTGTGGGTTACCATGGGTTATCGTGGGTTACCTTGGGTTACTGTGGGTTAAGTGAGATAATCCACATAAAGTACCTAGCGTGTAGCTGCTGTCAATACATCTTGATTCTTCCCTTTCCATTCATACCTGGGACATCATCTTGCTTTCTGTGACACAGCTTTATTTACAGGAACACAATACCACTAGTTTTTTCTGACAGTACCACAATAAATAACGGGCCACACATTTCACTATGCTCCTGGCATTGCTGTCTTATGGATGTCACAGCAGCATAATCACTTTCAGTTTTATTTACTGATTTTTTGAAATGCTAGAATCAAACTCAGGTTCTCGCACATGCCAGATCCCAACATCATAACGAATAACTTTGCATGTCACCCTCAGAAGTGCCTGCCTTTAAGGAAACTGCAGGATCACCCTACCTAGAACTTTTTCAGGGTCTTCTTTAGGGTGTCTCTCAGTTCCTTGCTCCTCATGCTGTAGATGAAGGGGTTCAAAATGGGGGTGATGAAAGTGTAGACCACAGACACAGCCCGACCCATCTCAGGGGAGTAGCTGGAACCAGGGGACAGATAGATGAAGCTGGTGCAGCCGTACTGCAGGAGGACCACTGAGATGTGAGAGGAGCAGGTGGAGAAGGCTCGGCGGCGCCCCACAGCTGAGCGGATCTGCACGATTGCCAGCGCGATGAGGACATAGGAGATGGAGATCAGTGTGAGGGGTACACTGAGGACCAGGAAGCTAGTGATGTACAGGGCCATCTCATGCACGTGTGTGTCTGCGCAGGCCAGGCGCAGGATGGCAGGCATGTCGCAGTAGAAGTGGTAGACCTCGTTGCTGTGGCAGAAAGGGAGGTGGAAAATTAACGTGGTCAGTGGCAGCGACAGCAGGAACCCCAGCACCAGGCTCCCTGCCACCAGTTCCACACACACACGCCAGCGCATGATGAGGCTGTATCTCAGCGGCCGGCAGATGGCCACAAACCGGTCGTAAGCCATGACCGCCAGCAGAACACAGTCGGTTCCTCCCAAGAAGACGAAGAAAAACATCTGGGTCCCACAACCTGCAAGGGAAACAGGAGTTTTTCCCATTGAGAGAAGGTTTGCCAAGGCCAGGGGTGCGATGGAAGATGTGTAGAAGATTTCCAGGACCGCCAAGGTGGCCAGGAAAAAGTACATGGGGGTGTGGAGGGAAGGGCTGATATGGACAACGACAGCAATCATGGCATTTCCACTCAGGCTGGTCAGGTACATCACCAAGAAGGCCATGAAAATCGCCATTTGGACCTCGGGGTCAGAAGAGAATGGGCGAAAGAAGAATTGTATCTTTGCAGTTTTGTTCATTCCTTCCGTGGTCGTGTATTGAACCTACTAAGAGGAGAAATGACACGATTTTCAAGGTGACTCTCATTTCATGGGTGTTTCCCCAACTCTTCCATGCAGTGTTAGAGCAGTTCCTCAGCAGTGACATACATCATTTCAATTAGAGGTCATGTAACATTATCATTTAAAATCTGCCACCCATTCATCTTTCCTCTCCTACCCCCAAGGAGCAAAGATTTAAAAATTTTCGGTGATGCTCCAGTGATTCTTGATTTAATCCCAATGCCTAGCAGTGCTTGAAACAGAAGAGTTTCCAAGATACATTTGCTGGAGAAATTAATGAATCATCAGCTTAAAGCTTGACATTGTAAAAGGGATAAGATAGGATGTTAATTCATTGTGTTAAACTTATATTGAGGAACTTATAATTGCACAGGCAGTTGAACTAAAGGGAGCTGTGCTACTGGCATGGCATAATCACATCATAAAATCTGTTATATTTCACAAGACCTAGTCTCCTTTATCCAATTTAACCCTAAGCATGACTAGTTCATCCTTTGAAAAGTTTCCTATGTGTGTTGCTTTGGTCATTTTGCTGTGACTTGGTCGCTTTTATCTACTGACTTTACGAGTGGATTTTAGTGATAGTCTGCCATCCGCTTTCCCATTTTCCCTCTGTTCCTTCTGTAATCCACTCTGTTCTTCATTGTCCTTTTACTCATCTACTTAGAAATTTCCACTGACTTTCTAATGGTTCAATTTCAGCCTTCACAAAACTGTCAGTTTCCCCAGTCTTTCTTAGATCTGGTTTACGAGTAATCCCACGATGGCATGCGGTTGCCCATGGTATGCATTGATGGTCTCTACTCATTGGCCTCCCATCCAGGTTCTCCTTTCTGCTCATATACATCTGTTTTGCCTCTTCCCTTTGGCTTAAGCTAAATCCTACTCAACATTCAAATTCTAGGATATGCTCTTCTTTCATGAAGTCTTCCTGAAATACTCTTAGCTTAAATCTTTCCTTTCTCTGAAATTCTGTGCTGCTCATAATGTTACGATGTTAGGTTGATTCTCTGTCTTTTACTGTGTTTATAAGTGCTATCCCCAGTTATATTTTAGTTCCCCTGAAGGTAGGCAATGAGGCTCTGAGAGCAGGAACTCTCTGATGACAAGTTTTCATTTCCAGTATGCTAAGTGCGAGGCATGAGGAAAACTGCTTTATAATGCACCAGCTTATTTTATCCATAAACTATTTTAATAAGCATGTCCTACAATCAGCTCCATGTCACCAACTAGGACACACAGCTTAAAAAGATCAGGAATTTCTCAAAAGTCACACAGCTTCAAAGTGAGAGAGAGTCAGGGTTGACCACAATCCATTTGGATTCAGCCTCAGTCTGCAGTACACTGCCTTGATCTGTACTGTATTTTGCTCCTGAATAGCTTTGCTATGTGATTGATCACCTACTTTTCAATCCTCTGGTGAGCTCCAGGTCGTCTACTGGAATAAGTACATCTAAGATCAGAGACCAAAAGCAGCAGTTTGTGATGTTTCTAGACTCGAGAGACACAGTCACAGTCTGGATTGTGACTTAATGCATAAATGCTTCTCTTACCAGTGCAACAATAGCCATTACACCCCCCACCTTGGTTTTTTCTAAGGAGGAGTAGGAAAGTGTTTGGATGCTATGGGGCTTTGGGTAGAGATCGAGGGACAGTGGTTTTAATTTAGCTTCCGTGAGAGACAAAGGAAACAAAGGGCAGGTAGTCTCCTCTGTACCTGGTGCCTGAAGCCCTGTGCGATGGCTGGGGGGTAGCACCTGTAATACAGTTTTCAGCTCCTGCACATCTGGACAGTATCGTGGGACTGAACCAAGTCAGTGTAAAGCGAATCACTCAATTCCGTAGGGTGCTGGAGAAAGTCTTGGAGGTGCCTTTGGTTCATGTTCTTTCCAGACTCGCTGTGCTCAGAAAGTTTGCTCTGTTTACTGGGCATAAATCTATCTAATCTCAAAGTGACCATTTCTCACTAGAGTGAGTAGCCTTTGTTTCATCTCAAGCCTAGATAAAAGGAGAAATCAACCACAGATGGATAGTTACACTGTGAAACTCAGAGTGCTGCTTGAAAGATTCAAATGCAGCAGTGTCCTCCACCTAGAGGCTGTTTTAACTTGAGCAGTGCCCTTGTTATTGTAAGGAAAAAACCAACCAGACATCTACAAAGGATGGTACAGAATGGGCAGAAATAGAATTCATCCATATTTCGGTAAAATGTAGAACCAAATGTTATATAACCTGCAATGAGATAGCTACATGCTTTGCTGTCCGCATTCTTCATATAGTTCTGTATTGGTTACTTTTCTCTTGTTGCTGAGACAAAATACCTGATGCTCAAAATTAAGGAAAAAAGGTTTATTTAGCTCACAGTTTGTAGAGGTTTCAGTCCATAATCAGTTGACTCCAAGGCAGAGTGGTACATGGCAAAGGGCAACAATTCATACAAGTGGAAAACAGTGAAAGCAACCAGTAAAAGGGGAGGAGCCTTAAGGGAAGACCCTTCCTGTCCCTTATAGTGTATGTAGGCCACATCCAAGTGGGTGTAGCAACCACACCCATAATCCCAGCACTGGACCATGAGTCATTCACAGACTTTGGAAGCCCACATCCACAACTGCATGAGGCTTTGGTGGACATCTAGACACAAACCATAACATAAATTGAGGGATGAAAGTGGCTATTTGGGTCCAGGAATCATGTTTCCTACCCTGGAATGTGTAAATTCTAGATTTAGAGGGCAAAAAGCCATCTCTTGGGAGAAAGTGAAGTTCCAGGATCAATATCGCACAACTTTTCTAAGGATCCCTTTTAATTTGAAAAATTTGGACTGGGCATGGTAGTACATGCCTGTAATCCCAGGACCCTGAAAGGCAGAGGCAGGAGCACTGCAAATTCAGGCCCAGCTTGGGCAACTCAGTGATTTAGCAAGACCTTGTCTCAAACAAAATAATAAAAATGGGCTGGAGTCATAGCTCAACGTAAAGGTCCTGGGTTCACTTCCCAGTACCTCAGAAGAAAATTTTGGGTTCATAATTTAACATTGAAACAAACATGGAGATAGTATACAGTAGGAGGCAGATTTTCTTGAATTTAGGGTCAGGTAAAATACAAGACTTTAAAGAAATTTCTTTCTATGGCTGATCATTAAGCCATTAGGAATATAAACTGTCTGGTTCTTATTTCAGTGCTAAATGGAAAAGCTTTACCTGCGTTGGTTTAGGTGATAGATCGGCTATTCCCCAGTGGAGAATGTGATTCCCTAATGCTCCCAAGTCTAGAATCTTAATTTGAAATAGCTCTTCCTTGTTATTTCAAAGAAAATGACTAAAGTAGGGAAATTTCTTCTAAGATAGATGAGCCCAGAGAAAAACTCCCAGGAGATAATTTTTTTAAACAGACAGGCCTTTGGATGATTGTTTATCATCTTTTGAAGCTGCTTACAGTCAGACAAACAAGCGCAGGCTCCACCAGTTCTTTACCCTTCATGTAATCCCTGCACAAGCTGATGAGAGGTCTTGGAAGGTCCTGGATGCCCCATTAGAACCGTGCCAGGCTCCCCTGACTGGCTTTTCTCAGGAGAGTACCTGACCTGTGCAAAGTTGAAAAAGCAATCAGTTTACATTTGTTGTTTAAATACCCAAGGTACTCTATGGCACTCAAAGGTGACTGAGATGCCATCTACTCAGTGAAGTCAAAGGGAGAAGGCAGTTGGCTGTGTCTCCCTTGTCTGGTTCTGTTTTCAGTGCCTCTGTCTGTAACCCTCCCACCCTGTCGGTTTTCTCAGTTTAATCACAGGCAGAGAAAGGCAGATTGCAAATTTCTTTTTTTGTCTTTTTCCTTTTTATTGGTACCGGGGATCGAACTCACGACTGACTGGTTGTAAGGCAGGTGCTTATGCCGCTGAGCTAAATCCCCAGCCCCGAGATTGCAAATTTCAATTCCTTAAAAACTGCAAAGGGAGGAGGGAGTTTCTGGGTGGGCTTTTGGCTGAGTCAGTAACTGTATTTTTGATTCTGTAACCAGATTTTAGAAGGATGTGTATATGTGCACATGTATGCACTCACACACAAATTTGGGAAAATGATGCTTCTAAGACAAAACAGTAAAAAGCAGGCTCTGTTGGAATTCAGTAATGTATGTTTAAATTATGGCTTTTCTACTTCCTCATATACTCAAGAATAACACCTCAAGACTTTTACGAGGTGCAAATGTATAGCATTCAGGCAGGAATCTGTTAGAATTCCCAGAGCATATTAACTGCTCAATAGAGTACAGGGATTAATTGATTCCTTCATCATGCATGCTGAGACTGGAAAGTCTTTCTGAGTAGATGAGTGGCCTGGCAGGCCAGTCTAATATTTTCTGGGAGAGCTTTCATGTCATACCTAGTTCCATCGTTGGCTTCCTATCTCACCTTATACCTCAGAATCCTTCTTTAACTATGTGGAAGAATGACCGCTCCTTAACTACTCATAAACCGTTACTCTTGAAAGATGGGATGTAGGAAACACCTTGACTCTGGATATGTCTGCAAGACCTAACTGATCTATAAATCCTTACACTGGCTGTAGCAAAATCATGGAAGATCTGCTGATATTATTCAAAGAACATATTTTAGTAGATTTGTATTCAAACAAAAGTGTAATCTGCTCTTGAATAATATTTTATATGTGCCTGAAGAGTCTCTTTTGGCTATTTTCTAGAAAAAACTCTTGTTTTTTGGCAGGAGCATCTAGTGAGAAGGAGGGCCAACTTGAATCCATTTATGTCAGTCATATGGAATTTGCTGCTGGGGAGGGCAATGCTGGTAACACACAGGCAGTTCATGGGGCTCGGCTGACGCCTTCACAAGCGAGAGGGTCGTATGAACCAGTCAAACATTCCACAAAAGTTACTGTTTTCCTATTATAATAATAATGGGTAATATTTACAGGGAACTTACTAAGACCTGTATACTGTGCTGA